GAGGACCATTTTTGCCAGAAATGGGTGAATTTTAGGAGAAACATCGATGAGGAAAATGCAGTTAAAGCACATTTCTTTGAGAAATACGGAATACCTAGGGTTATCGGTTGTGTTGATGGAACACACGTTCGTATTAAGTCGCCAGGAAGTGACAACCACCATTTATACCTCAACCGCAAGGGTTTTTACAGTCTTAATGTAATGGCGGTAGGTTAATGATTTACTATCTTTACAAGTATACATATACACAAACTGAGTTTCCTTACAGATATGCGATCACAACATGGTAATCACATTTGTTGACGCTAGGCATCCAGGGGCGAATCATGATTCATTTGTTTGGAATGTGAGTCACGCAGAACAGGAGCTAAAATCTGATTATAACAATGGAAAAATCAACACATGGCTACACGGTAAGTTTTAAAACTTAAAAAGGCCATAAAACTATTACTGACAATGAAAATTTTTGTAGGGGATTCTGGTTACCCCTTGCAGCCATACTTGATGACGCCATTCAGAAGCGCATCCGATGAAATTCAACGAATTTACAACACAAAGCACTCGAAAGCTCGTAATGTAATTGAGAGATGTTTCGGTGTTTTGAAAAACCGATTTCGATGTATAATTGGCTCGAGAGGGCTACACTATTCACCAGAAAAAGTTACACAAATTGTAAATGTGTGCTGTGCTATTCATAACGTTTGTATATTTTTCAAACATCAAATTCCATTGGAGAGCCCAGATATGGAGAATCTTGTTAGTTACGAAGACGAACTGGAAAACAGTGACATTTCGAATACAGCTGCCCTTATTAGAATGAGAATAGCAGAGAGTTTATTATACGCAGTATATTAACGCAGTTTTATTATAAAGTATGTGTGTTTAGATTTCAGGTACACCAGCAAAATTCATTTGTCTTAAGATTTATAAAATATTTACATAAAAATTCAACAAAATATCTTTTCAGTCTTAAATCCTAAATCTACATATAAACTAAGTAAATGCAACAAAATATCAATTCACACTTAAATCTAAAAAATATTTACAAAAAAAAAAAAACAAAATATCACTTCAATACTCTCACAATAGTGGTATGAAAATTAATTCCGGAAGTACTCCAAAAATTTTTCAAAAATTTCAGATTGGCGTTCCACTGCAGCAGTTAATTTGTTTGTGGCATCCACCTGCAGCATTGATGCCTCTGCCATTTTTTTTGCAGCCTCAGCCTGCACTTTAGCGCCTTCTGCTTGGACTTTGGCAGATTCAGCCACTGTCTCTTGGAAGGTGCGCTTCCTATTAATGGAACGTAACGTGTGCGTTGGTGTAGGACGGGTTGTCTGTGTAGTGGGAGTCACTACTCCCACTGGTGGTGGTTGGTTGTGCCTTATAGGAGATTGAAGGGTGGTTGTTTGTTGCATTCGTTGGTCAAGTGTTGGCGATTCAGTCACAAGTAAAGGAGGCATTTCCTCCAACGACGAATGTCTTGACATGTTAGAGGTCGCCGTCGAAGGAATGCCGAAAACTCTGCCGCTCGGGGCTGCTGACCTCGAAATAAAAACCAGGCTGTCTATGGCCTGCTCCATTTCGGAAAGCGGAGAGTGACGGAATGGGCCACAACCGGTAGCAGTAAGGCTTCGTTTGTTTTCGGCAATCTTCTTTTTTGTCCGGCTTTTCAAGTCAGCCCATATCTTGAAAAATAAAAATAAAATAAAATTCAATGTCAGTAAAATGGAAATAGTGCACAAGCATTTATCTACCACATACTATTTATGCACTTATGCTTACTTTCTTCCATTCGACGGCCGTTCTTGTAGGAGGACCATGAGAATTAATTTTCCTCATAATTTCCTCCCACCGCTCCTCTACCCTTCCTCGATCAGATCCAAACACTGCAACACCTCTGGCCAAGTCAGGATTTCTCTCCATTTATTTTACCAGTACAGTATATTTTGCTTTGCTGCCTTTATGCTTAAGATACCTACCCTAAAATGCGCATTAGCGGCATTATTCTTAACATTTATAAGGAAACTCCTCCGATAGATGCATTCAACATACCTGCACATTGGCGATACCTGCCTTAAAAATTGTGCAACTATTATTAACTATCAAAGAAAGTATTAGGTTTACCTGCACTGGCCCTACAATTACCTAATTTTACAAGCTTTTATTTATTTTGTTCATCTCGCAGAACAACGAAAATGGCTATCAATTAATGTAGTTATATAGATAATTAGATACCATTCCTTAAAAATTGCGCTTGCAGTAATTTCTGCGTGGTAAGTGCTCCTCCATTATTTGGTTTCATAGGGATTCGGATACCTTCCTCATTGAAGTATTAAAGAAAATTCGCTTAAGTGCTTTTTTCGGTTAAGTGCGCAAGTTTTTCGTGCAAAGAAGGATGGGCAGCTAAGCAAAATATACTGTACTTCAAATTGAGTGGTTGTAGTTTTTTTCAGCGCTACAAGCATAAATATTAATATATTTCCTTAAACCAAGTTATATTTTTTATTTTCTTACTTTTCCTGGCAGAACCCTCCATCTTAACGATCACTAATAACCTTTCGTCTGTTTTCAACGATTGTCGTCTCACTTTCGTCTTCTATTCGCCTTAAAAAATTCCAAACTAGACGAAAACTACGTAACGATCAGCTGTTTTCGTGCTGCCAGACGATTTCGACTTACATACTACCAACACACGAAAGAAACGTCTGGCAGACGAAACGAACGTTCGCTTCGAGATACATGATTAGGCTGTACGTATATCTCTACTGTTTCGTTTGTATTCGTTGTTTTTCGTTTTGACTAAATACGAACGAGGTGTATGCC